AAAGTACGTAGATTAATTAGTTAAAACCATTCCCTATGATCGACACCCGACTTATCCAGACTGTTCTATAATTTGACCACGTACACTGCCTAGGTGCATTTTAGTTAGTTAAGTAGTTAGGTTATAAATTTAGAATTAGGTGTAGCTATTTGCATGCATCAATGTCTCACATAGGGATTAATAATACTATCTTGGTTTACGAGAAGCTTACAGTTCATTGGTTTTATTAAAAATAAAACTACATACTACTTTTCAGTACACTATGTCTTACATTTCTGGTCTTAGAGTTTTTAAGACTACAGTCGTTCATACATCAGAAAATATGATATTTTTTGGGAACATACATTTTACAATTAAAAGTAAGAGAAAAAAAGGTCGTGCATACGTACATATTTAGTCTTTGGTATAAGACTTACAACTCACTTTAATAGAAAATATCAGATTTTCTAGAAGCATACAAAACCTTTAAAACAAACATACGACAATGCTTATGAACTCACCAACATTCATTGTTGACGATTTTCAAAACGAATTGTATTCTCAGGGAACCAGTAACAGGTAATTAAAAAGTTTTGAGATCAAGTGATGTAGCATTATGGAATTTACCTTTCTGTCATTTTGTGTAACTTATGAACAAATACATTATGAAAACTATGTAAGTTTGTAATCTCAATGTATACTGTTTGGTTGCTATGTTTCATTTATATTTAATTGTTATGATACTATATATAATGACATCATACGCCCCCGGGTATTTTTGCCGTCCAGGTTCAGGGGTATGACATTCTGTGATAATTAAAGTGCTATCTTCTTGAGTAAAGATCAAATATTTCATGACCGAATAAAGCACATTGATATTTGTTTCCATTTTGTGCTGAATATCATTGAAAAAGGTGATTGTGTCGTGGACAAGATTTATACATGTTATAATCCAGCTGATATGTTCACTAAGAGTCTTCCTTTAACCAAGTTAAATTTATGGTTGGACTTGGTGGGTGTTTGTGATCGAAATTAAGCATGAACAACACATTGGTGGAGGAAGTATTTTATCTTTCGGAATCAATTTTTCTTTAAATGGTAATTACAGGTTCTTATGGAGTTTTGGAGTTTGATGAGTAGTATAGCACCCGATTCCTGGTACGTATTTTCATTCAAGTAATTATGACATTTTGGCCTGGGACTCGGCAAGTTGAAGGTCCAACTCGTTGAGTAGAATCAACTTTGGACACGGTAGTTTAGTGACCTACTCGATGAGTTGGCAAACCAACTCGACGAGTAGGCGCTATTTGGGAAAAACCTTGAATCTAAGGGATTGCACCCTATTTAAACGTCTTAAAGCAGCCTCCATCGTCCGTTATGCTCCTAGAACACCTCATACTGAAACCCTAATCGTTTTGTGAGATCTAAGGCCCTTTTTGGTGATTTTGGTAGCTTGTAATTACAAGAAAGAAGGAAAAGCTTGAGAAGCCAAGAGGAAACCAAGAGATTTTGAGTTTGTGCAACATCTACAGTTCCTTAGAGGTATAAAGCTTATACCTTGTTCATTCATGTTCTAGATCCCTTTTGGAGTGAATTAGTGCTTTTTGGAACCATTTTTGGTGACCAATCATGAGTGCAAGCATGGTTGGGGGTTAAGACACCAGATCCAGGGTCCTTAGTGGACTACATGGCCTAAAGTGGCCAACTTTGTAGCCTTAGAGAGCCATATGCACCTTTAGACCTCATTTTTGGGTCCATTAAGCTTATACCCCATGCATGCACCTAAAGTTGATAACTTTACGTGCTAGATCGATCTTAGAAGCCTAGATGTGTCTTTTGGATGAGTGTTGTACATCAGAAATCGAGATATAAGGCTTGGATAACACTGACTCGTCGAGTTGATCTTAGAACTCGGGGAGTCCAAGGCTTGAGCCCCAGTCTGTTGGGTTCAAAGAACCCAGTTGAGTGTTAGAAGGGTCTTAGAGAGGTCCAGGCGAGTGACTCAACATATTAGACTTAGCCATAGGACTCGGGAGCGTATGAATAGACTCGGCGAGTCTAAGGCAATCTCCCAAACCTTTGAAGATGGACTCGACGAGTTGTTCATACAACTTGGTGAGTCGCAGACTGGGTATGTTCGTAGGATGAAGGTGAACTCAACGAGTTATTCATATAACTCGATGAGTCGGATGAAGGTTCAATCGATGATATTATAGAAGGAGAACTCATCGAGTCTTTGCTAAACTCGACAAGTAGAGTCGAGAGGGGGGGTCAGATGAAAGAATAGGGACTCAGCGAGTTGGCGACCCAAATCAGTGAGTCAGGTGAATTAGAAGTTGACTTTGACCAAGATATTGACAGTGGCCAGGGGTAAAATAGTCATTTTACCTTATAGTAGTTATCAGCTTCTAACTAAGTGTCTTTATGGGACTTATAGCCGGAGAATCGCCGGTGTAGCAGATAGAGACGTCTCACTCGGAATGATAACATTCATTCGTACAAGGTGAGTTACCTTCCAGTAACGGTGGGTCTACAGCCACAATGTCAGCCCACCTATAGGAGTTGTATGTTAGATGATTTGTCTTTGTGATATTCATCTAGGTTTGTTAATACCTAATATGTTATATGTTGGCATGATATGTTATATGTGATAGTGGTAGTAGGGGGGAGAATAGTCCCCAAGTTCGGTTGTTAGGACCGGAGGGTAGGTCGGACATACCCGATATGTCTGACAGTATGTTTATGCTATGATATATATGATAGTAGTAGTTGGGGTGGAATAGTCCACGAGGTTTGGTTGTTAGGACCGATGGATAGGTCAGCACCCCAAAATGGTTTGACACGGGTAAGTCAGCACCCCAAAATGGTTTGACACAGGTAGGTCAGCACCCCAGAATGGCTTGACACGGGTAGGTTGGCACCCCAGAAAGGCCGTACTGGGCAGGTCGGGCACCCCAGAATTGCCTGACATTATGTATGCTATATGATTCTATGGTATGTCGTACGATGGGAGAACTCACTAAGCTTTGTGCTTACAGTTTTCAGTTTTGTTTCAGGTACCTCTTCAGCGAAGGGGAAAGAGCCGGCGTGGTAGCTGCACATCATACACACACATTAGATTTCCACATTACAAGATTTCTTAGGATTGCACTCTGACAATGTTACCATTTTTATGATATGATTTTTAGACATGAGATTATGGTTTACAAATGATATGACTTAATGATGTTTTCTGATAAATGTTTTCTAAATTGTTATATTAAAACTGAAATTTTTGGATTGAAATTTAGGACGTTACAAGTTGTTAGTGTTTAATGTTATTGGGTGATTGTTGGGCAAGTTGAAGTTTTCATTGTCTATTTTGAAGTCAAGGTGGAGATTGTGGAAATATGTCTTCTAAAATTGACAAGCTTTGCTTAGTTCAAGGGCTATTTTGTCTTTTCAGCAATCCAGGTCTAATTTAGTTGTTTTGGGTCTAAAAATGGCACCAGATCTAAAATGGTTGTTTCAGGTCTAAAATGAGTGTTTTCAGGTCTAAAAAGGGTTTGTTCCTAAAATGCAAATATTACACTCTTGAAGGACCAAATTAGCTAAATTGGTCAAACCTTTTCCCTTTAAATCGCAATGAACACAGATTTGTTTGAGGAGGGAGAGTTGTGAAGACTTCTTATTCTTCTTTCTTTCTTGAATGACATTTTCACCAAGTCATTGTAGCTCATTGTAATATCTTTGATCAAGCTCTGTAAACACTGCAATATTTTAGTGGATTTGTTTTTGGCTTCCTCCACCCATGGTTTTTCCCGATTTGGGTTTTCCACATAAATCCCTGTGTCTCTTTTGATTTACTTTTTGCTTGGTATTTTTCATTGTATGTGATTGATTGTGGTTTGATTTCGTCCTTTTCCACTTGAATTGATATTGTTCTCGTGATTCGGATTTTTGGGTTGTTTAACGCATTAGGGCTTTTTCATTTTAGTGCAACTTACCCTCTTTGTTTACTATAGTTGTAGTTGTGTTAACCATAAGCACCTTGTCTTTCAATGAAGCTTTCTAAATTTCCAAACTAGAATTCAACTCATTTTTAGCCTCACAATCAAAACAATATTATCCACACAAAGCATAAACCATGGTACCTCCCCATGTAAATCTTGTGAGATATGTTGTCCATGAGCGATGATGTAAAGGTTAACTCCTAAACCATGATGGATCCCAATTCCAACAAGGAAAAATTTTATGTCTCCGAGCATAGTTCATATGTCTTTTCCATGTCAATAAACACCATTTGGAGATCCATACTTCTTTCTCTAAACTTCTCCATAAGGCCTCTAAGTAGGTGGATCGTCTTTATCATTGACCTCCCATGTATGAAGTTGGATTAGTTTTCAATTACTATAGGGCCGTTCCAAATATATTTTGTGTCCATGACGAGAGAAGAACAAAAGACCCTTAAAATATACAAATTTAATTAACTTGTTTTTATAATAACTCAATAATTGTAACAAAATTATTTATATTAGTTTCTAAATATAACATTTTCGATTACAAAAATCCATACATTTAAAGAAAAATAATTCTTTTAGCTTTTTGAGATGTAATTATTAATGATATCTTCAAAATCGATATTGTCTAACATATAATAATAAAATCCATAAAAATTTTGGTCTCCTTTGAAAGATGGGCTCTGGACGATCGCCCTTATCGTTCATCTTTTAGGACGGATCTTAGTTACTAATGTATCATGTCTTATCATGATCTAAAACTCTTTCTCAAAGCTTCATTGTAAGACTAAGTAGTTTAATATATCTAGTCTCCACGACTTAGGGCATCTTCTTTGTTCTTATTAATTTGTATCATGTATAGTACTAGATCTCCATTCCTTATGGACCTTGCCTGACTAAAAAATAGGAAATTTTACTAAAAACAAGTAATTAAAACCTTTCTTGTGTGTATTAGTGTATATGTTATATATTAGATTGCAGTTGCTTTTCGGAATTGTTGATTGAATATATATGCTTTTATTACACTGTATCTTGACAAATAAGTCATATGTACCCTATGCAATTTCTAGTCAACATACGTACCACTTCATATATATTAATTAATATGTGCCGTATACCCGGTACATCAATAAATAAAAACTAAACATATTCCATATAAAATCATAACCTGACAACATTCTTTCTCTTCATGGGTAGGGCCCATAAACATTCATGTCTCTTGTAAATTGCAAATTCAATTCTTCTACTCAAACTTGCATCTTTGTACCTTTATTATAAAGGGAATATTATGTCTTCATATTAAATTTTTTTGGAATCTGGAGTGGAGTACTATGTGCTGTTCATAACTAAATTAATAATTGCAAAGTTGGAAACCAACAAAAAAAATTCCGAAAAACACATTCATGCTAATTAACAAGAGTAGAACTTGTAGATCTTATTTTTCACCCATGCTTCTTTAGAGACATCTTCCTCCATAACCTGCATTTCTGAATAATATCTGCTCAATTTCTTCTGAACTCATCATCTCCCGATTTTTCTGTGCCTATATATCATCTTTGTATTATATCGAAAGCACACACAAATACGAATAATAGTAATAATAATAATAATGAGAATATAATATGTACCTCAAAACAAGAAGCTTCAACGGAAAAATCACTGAAAGAACTCATGACACATTGTTGAATGTCTAGGCCTAATGTTTCAAGTGTGTTCACCGTTGATAACACCAATCCCGGTTTTGTTGAACAACAGATCTCAATACGGGTATCCTCGTTTCTCCTCTCTACTTCAAACTACACATTTTATTCAAGAAATTAATTGATGTATGTTCATTATGCGTTATGTATGGTATATATGGATAAAAATAGCACCTTTGTTGGATACTTAGCTTGTGATAATTGTGAGACTCCCATCAAGTTCAAGCTATTCGAATCAGGATTCAAGTTATGAATCTTTTCGAGTAGATCTTTCATATACTCTATCGTATCCCCAAGTATTGATGTCCTATCCATCTGTTCTTTTGTTTCTCAAGAACATTAGTAAAAGGTTATCTATTTATGAAAAAAAGATATATAATCCAGATCATGGATGTGGGTTTTTACCTTGCTAATTCTAGGAACAATTGATCTGAGCATTGAAAGACGATCGTTTAACCGTTTTCTTCTTCGTCTTTCTGCCATTAAATTCTTGGAAGGCTGCCCTTCAACCTTCTTAGATTTGCTCTTCTTTTCCTCACTAAAAACATTCTGGATTTGATGCTCATCATCATGAACCATTTTATCAGAATCCACCAGTGTTGGGAACGTTTCTTGGACTGAAACCATTGATGTTGGTATATCATCGTATTCATATCCGTATATTTGTGTGAAGTTGTCAAGATTTGGTAGCGTGGGAAAGATAGTTTCTTCTAAGCATGGAAAAGTGGGGTGTAGAGAGGATGAGATGAGCTGCATGAATGAAGAAGAAGAAGAAGAAGAAGAAGAAGAAGACGCTAATAATGAATCATCAGCTTCTTCATTAGGAAATGTGGTCCGATTGTGGTTGATCGGAGTGATCAAGAGATCTTGAAGAAGACCTTGTGGTTTGACGACTAGGGTGCTGCATCTGGAAAAATTAGGAGTGTATATGAAAGGGAAGTGAATAAAGATGAGATGGAATTAATTTGAGATGTGTAAATTGTAATTATAAGGAAATGATGATGTTTTTTAGGGTGAATTGTTTGACCCACAGATGTGTCTGCATTGAAAACGATGGGCTTGGCTTCATGGATGTTGTCAGTCTGGTCGACAGGTCATACCCCCCATGACTCATCAATCTTATAGATATTCAAATAGTAAGAGATCATAAATTATTAGAGTTGTCAATTCTTGTATGCATGGGTTATATTGTGGATTTTTTTTAACGAAATTTTGTTCAGTGATAAATGGTCGGATATATATTATGGTTACCCGAAAAAAAACATATAGATGTTTGTTGATTTTGATAAGGATGGCTTATGAGGTATAATAGGTAAATATTGTTTAGAATTTAAATTGATAAGTGATTTATCGGTTGATTTATTAGCATGGGGAAATATAAATTTAAATGATCGGATTAAGCTTTAAAGTGAATATAGCTAGTAAATTTAAGTTAACAATGAATAAATAAGTTTTTATTTTTGCTTTTAAAGTTTTAGTTTGATCAATCTGTTTAATTATTTTATGTTGTGTTATGAAATGAATTGGATTAGCAATTTTTGACAAGATGAGAAAAACACTGTGTTTTAAGAGTGTGGGTAACGATGAATTATATTTGTTTGATATAATGTTCTCAATATAAAGGGTAAGGAAAGAATACATTGAAATATAGGAATGTAAACAAGCGGAGTACATAACTCGTGGATAGACTTGTTAGAAGTTAATAAGATAATGTTAAAGGATATATATTGGCCAATTCTTGAAAGTTTAAGAGGCATAAAGTATAAAACTTAATATACAAATTAAATATGCAAAAACAACTGATCATTAGTTATATCACAGAAAATCTACCGTATTTATCAATAAAAATCAATGAATTGTCTGTTACAGTGTATTAAGGAATGAATATATGTTCTCATATATCTCCAAATTTCAAATTTCATATTATAATAAGTTGATTGTATCCACAATCTCCTCCATAAAATACCGTTCATCTCTATTTTAACTCTTCCGCCTGCAGCTATCAGGCCCATATACGTGCATTATCCTATTAATTATTCGTTGAATTAATTTTGATTGCATTGTTTGTTTTGAAATTTGATGCTGACATTATATTTTGGATGGTTATTGATTTAAAGTTTCGAGGTTCAAGGCCAAAAAAAAAAAAAAAAAGAATTAAACGATGGGTTACATATGGGGTTGCAAGTAAACAGCTATCTCATACCAATGCAAAGTCATTTGTTTTTTTTTTTTTTTTTTTTTTTTTTCAGTCGGAGGTTAATTTTGTTTGAAGTCAAAAGATACATCGTGTTTGTCAATAGTGTTGGTCCAAACGTATGTGAGATCCGTGGTAAAAAGAAAAAAAGATCTT